TAATGGTATGATTAATCTAACCTAGGATAACAATGATATAACAATGGTTGAGAAGTTTTCAGCATTTCCATCTGCCTCACTGCTTAAAGATTAGTAGGAAATCCAGGGGCCCTTGGGTGGCTCGGTCAGTGGGGTGTCTAACTTCGGCTCAGGTCATGCATGATCTCTTGGTGTGTGGGGCTGTCAACGTGGGGCCCAGTGTCTCCCCCGCTTGCACGCGTGCGCACGCGTGCACGCTCTCTCTCAAAAGTAAACATTAAAAAAAGATTTTAAAAAATCAGTAGCAAATCCAGAACTCATTTTTCTGATGTTAAATTTCTTCCCCTCGTCAACCTCCTATAATGATGAATTATTTCATAATGCTTTTATTGGCTTTGCTCCTAATCAGCACATTGCTTTCGTTGTTGTATTAATTACATATTTTGCATATATAAAATATATCAAATGTCTATGATATCTAGCTCTGATATAAATATATAGAGAGTCCCACTGAAGACACAGAATTTGTTTTAACCACCACATTGACCAACTCAGCAGGGAAAACACAGACTGGCAAGTCTATGGAAATTCTTCACCTAGAAAGAAGAGGTAAATTTAGATGATCTTGCTTTAAAAGCAGACCAAAATGGAGCGAGAAGATTCTGAAACTTGTTTTCTTTCTTAAATCTCATTTTCTAGTAAGTGGTCCCTCGGCCACAAAACACCAGGAGGTTCCGACAGCAGACAACTTCATATTCTCATAGGACTGAGAGGTTCTCTATGTCTTCTCACCAGCTCAAGAACAAGCCCATTTAAACCACCCAAGAATGACAGCTAGTTAGCTGCCCACTTCGGAAACAGAGAGGTGGCTTTGGTCTTGTGGGTTTGCTGTCTCAAACTTTATGGCCAAGGAGGTCTTAAACCGACTTGTTGCAGTGTAACTCCATTCTTTCTTACCCAGTCCTTAGTGGAAACAGGAAACAGCTGCTCTCCATCACTCATAGACTATCCCTCATATTCTTGGAGACTATTATTAAGTCCCCCTCAGCATGCCTGCTCTCTCTCTCTCTAAGCTAAATAAACCCTGTTCCTTTAGCCCATATTTAGAGGGGCAATTTCCCAAACCTTTAATCAGTTGGGTCACTAACTAGGATGAATGATGCTATATAAAAATACTCCTCCTACAGCTTCATGGTGCTGTTTCAAAACTGGCTAGAAAGCCTTCTAATCACATCTCAGAGTCTCAAATCTTAACTTGAAAGGTATCTTCTTTCTAAGAATAGGCACAGCCTCCCTATTCCCTGTTTATCTTCCATTTATCACCCACACAAAATTAAACTGGAAGGGAAGAAAATCAACCCACTGCTATTATCGATTAGTACTTCCTTAAATTCAAGAGTTCATACAAAAATGACTAGATCGGTCAACTCCCCACTCTATTTTAGCTTTTGCTGTCTGTCTCTCTCCTATCTCCTAACAAGTGTATTGAATGTGAACAGTCATGTGAATGCAGCTGTTGTTTTTTCTAGAGCCAAAGTCGCTTCTAAATTCCTTTATAGATATCGTATCATGACCAAGATAGTTTAGTTGAACAGTAGAAGCTTTCTTAGCTGTCCTCCACTTAGCTGGCCAGATTAACCAGGATTCTCCATTTGTTCTATAATATATATTAGCTTATGTTGGGGTTCATTTGCTGGAAAGCTACTCTCTACTATGTTCAAGCACTTCTTCTGATCTTACCCGTTGAGTCGTATGCTTAGCAAGTATCAATTGTACATGTTTCTAAACTTGTTTATGATAGCTGGACTTGATATTATAATTTTACAGGTGAATTAAATGGCCTAGAAATGATGAAATACAGGACCAAAAGTGAAGAGAGCTGTTGCTTCTGTGAAAACCAAGTTGAATGCTTTGGAAAGTCTTCATACATACAAGTTGCTTTAAAATAGTTTTTTTGGGAGGTGCCTGCGTGGCTCAGTCGGTTGGGCGGCTGACTTGGGCTCAGGTCATGATCTCACAGTCCGTGAGTTCTAGCCCCGTGTCGGGCTCTGTGCTGACAGCTCAGAGCCTGGAGCCTGCTTCGGATTCTGTGTCTCCCTCTCTCTGACCCTCCCCTGTTCATGCTCTGTCTCTCCCTGTCTCAAAAATAAATAAACGTTAAGAAAAAAAAATTTTTTTAACAGTTTGGTGGTTCCTCAAAAAGGTAAACATAGAATTATCATTTGATTCAGTGATTCCACTCCTAGTATATACCCCAAAGAACTGAAAGCAGGGACTCAAACAGATACTTGTACCCCAATGCTCATAGCAATGTTACTCATAATAGCTGAAAGGTGAAAACAACCCAAGGTGTTCATCAATAGATATACAAACAATCTAAATAAAATGTAGTATATACACATAACAAAATATTATTCAGCCATAAAAATGAATGAAATTCTGACACATATTACAACATGGATGAATCTTGAAAACATTATGCTAACGAAGCCTGGGAGGCTCAGTTGGTTAAGTGTCCGACTCTTGATTTTGGCTCAGGTCATGATCTCACGGTTCATGAGATCGAGCCCCATGACTGGCTCTGCGCTGGCAGCGTGGAGCCTGCTTGGGATTCTCTCTCTCCCTCACACATGCTCTCTCTCTTTCAAAATAAACATAAAAAAACAAAAAACAAACAAAAAAAAAACCCATTATGCTAAGTGAAATAAGCCAGACACAAAAGGACAAATATTATATGATTTCATTTACATAAGGCAGCTAGAATAGGCAAATTCATAGATACAGAAAGTGGAACAGAAGTTACCAGAAATGGAGGGTAGGTAAACAGGGAGTTATCATTTAATGGGTACAGAGTTTCTGTTTGGGATAATGGAAAATTTCTGGAAATAGTCAGTAGTAACGGCTGTATGACATTGTGAATGCACTTAATGCCACTGAATCGGGTACTTAAAAAATGGTTACAAGGTAAATTTTATGTATATTTTACCACAACAAATTTTTCT